AAAAAAGTAGATCGAGGTTAGAACTTGGAGTGAGTTGCCATTGAAATTAGCTTTCAAGGAATATACCCGTATTTTCTAAGGCGCATATGATTCAACAAAATTTCTATTTAGCTACTTAATATCATTTCATGACCATAATATCTATACGCTTGTATTGAATACGGTTAATTATTTTCCGTTGCAGTTTCTTTAAAAATTTACCCATTGTTCATCATTGCTAATTCATAATTAAACTGATATTATAATTTTCGCTTACGTACCAACATTTTGCAAAATGACATCAAGAAATAGAAATAAAAAACTCATTATTATGAAATGGAAATTATTAAAATCATAAAATTATTAAAAAAGTATAAAAATGTTGAGAAAATATTTGATTTTAAATAATAAGTAGGTTTTTGGTTTTGACTGTGCTATATTTATATATGTACCTATACTCGTATTACTGTTCTTATATACCAATAAATTTATTGCTATAAAGTAATCTGGAGTATAAGTAAAAATCATCTTGATTTTATACTCTCCTATATGTCATATATCTATATAGGACTCACTTATTTAGTTAAGCTTATTAGGACTGGAATTGTACTATACTAAGTATACAATATAATTGGAAATTTGGTCAAGAGTTTTGCTTTTTAATTTTTGTTTTTCATTAACTTCTTCTTTCGAACATAATATTCTAAAAATAATGTTAGACGATCAAATTCATTAATTTAGCAAAGTTTAACGATAGTAAATTTTAACAAATGTACTTACATTACTATCATACATAATTATCTATATACTCAAGATTATTTATTTTGATTTTGATTTTGACATACCAGATTATTTTATTTTCAAAATTAATTCAGTTTATATTGTGCGTCAAAGCAAGCATCAATTCCAAATTAACTATTCGGTCTTTAACACAAGTAGTGTTAAGTACCGGTCTTTAACATAGTATGAAATAGTGTTTAAGACAATAGTGTCTCAAACATATATGAATGAATATTAATAGAAATAATGCTTTTCGGTTCTATAAAAGAGAATGCAAGGTAGAAATTTTGATTGTTTACCTTCCGGTAATAGGGGATAGGGGTTTATTTAATAAAACGCTAAAAAAACCATTTTATTTTGTGGAAAGCAATATTTCGTTTTAGATTGCGACTTTTCTTTAAAAAATATTTTCTATAACAAAAGTAAATGTTAATTTTCAAGAAAATTTTATTCTTATTTTTACTTTGACCTTTAATACTCTAAAAATATAACAAATTAATATGCATTTTCGAAATAATAAAAAATATTTTCTTTTACATTTTTTAATGAATTTTTCCTCCAGTCTTTGAAAATAAACTTTTACATTTTTTTTTTCAAAATTTTCTTTTTTTTTGGTTTAAATTCGTATATCACATAATAAATTATAAAGAAAAGCGGATGTGAACTAATGTAAACCCTGTCTGGATGGTATTTTAATCATTCTGAAATTTTCTATTTAACATTTTTTATACTTATTTTTTACATAATTATGCATTTATGTGTAAATATACATATACTTTTATATACATATACAAAATGTAATCGTATAATAATTTTCCTTTTATGTCTAAATAATTTTACTTTTAAAAAGTTGAAATTACATTTGCTTCTATGAAATTCTTTTTTTATCTAATTTTGGATAAAGAAAGATGAAAAAAAAACAAGATTTATTTTTATCTAATAAAGAGAAAATCGCGTGCGTTTCTACACTAGATCTTTCTTATCGCATTTTTTTTTTGTTAATGTTATAAGCAATTTTTTTTTTCCTTGAGATTTACAAAATTTATTCTATTTTTAGGAATAAGTAAGCATGAATTTCTTATAAACTGCATATTTAATTGTGTAGCGTACAAAACTTAGGATTTTGGAATGAAATTATTGATACGATATTTTCCCGGGAAATATAAGAAGTCAATAGGTAAATGTTATTAAATTCGATGTACAGGTTTTATTCATGGGTAAGAAAAGGTAAAAAAGTATTTACTTAGATATAAAGTGCAAATATTTGAAAACGAATATTTTTGATAAGTATGGTGCTTTCAAAAAAGATATGAGTTGTACGGCAACACTTACAGTACGGTCAGAAATGCTATAAATAGCTAGTAAAATTTGATTAAAATGAGATTTATTTTTTTAACAATCAATGTTTCAGTTAAGTTAGAACAACCTTAGCATAGCGTTACTTCTTATTGAAAAAATAAGATCTTTGCTTTTTAAATTATTTACTTTGAATTTAGAGAAATAATTTATTTTCGTTACTCCAACATTTTTCAAATAAGATTACTTTACAACCTATTCTCTAAATTTTTTAGTAAAGTGAGTACGGACTGCAGCAATTTTAGAAATAACAAAAATTATGCATTTTCGACAATTATCATAAATTTTCTGATTTGATAAGAAAAGCACACATAAAAAATTAATGTTACTTCTTCAAATAGTAAAAAATTATAATTAAAAATTCTTATCATTCAATTCTTTTTGTATTTAATTATATTTTAGTATTTATTTACGATCTTTTGGCTTAAACAAATCTTATACTTAATTACAATATTTTATTATTTATTTTTTATTTTATTTTTTAAGATTAGTCATAATTCGGATTTAATACGTTTATAGAATTTTTAATGGAATGTGAACAAATAGAGAAAATAATCATTTTAAATTTATTTTAAATTTTAAATATTAAATTCTGTTTTTTTTTTTTTAATATTTGCTCAATTTAAAAACACTTAAATAATAGGTAAGTGTGTATGTGGGTACATTATTTAAAAAAGAAACTGAATATTTACACATTTTATTCTCCTTATCTTTTCGAGCATGACTAATAACTAGATTTGTATAATTTCTTTGTAAATCGTAGATTTTTTTTCTAAAATAATAAAATGAAAAACTTAAAAATTTTTATTTTAAGTATTTTTTTTTTAAGATTAAAAAAGAACATTTTTATAATTTGATTTTCCATTTTATAATTTTTTAAGTATTTCTTTCTTTTTATAAATAAACATATAAAAATGTATACATATGTACATACATATACTACTTACATGAAGGTATCCAATTACCTATACACATATTGTATACTTATGAGCAAGCATAAATATGAATTAAGAAGATGACACGAGGCACTGACTCCTATTTACCCGTCATATTTACAAAAACAAAAAATATACTAAAATAAATTTTAGCAATAAATGAAATTCTTTTAAAGACACTAAATATGTACGTACATACATACATATATGCTAATGCGAGTATAGATCACACCACTATAAATAGATTATAGCATTTTAAAATTTTAAAGGAAAAATTTTAGGTACCTTAACATAACAAAAATATGTCTCAACCGTAGTTTCGCACTATTTTGAGTACACAAATTTTGAGCATACAATAACTGTGAGTACACAAATGCTATAAATTAGAAGAATATGAAATGCTTATTGTAATGAAGATCTGTACTAAGATAGTATTTAGCAACTAAAATTGTTCTGGATGATAATAGTCCTATCACTTAAAAGATAGGACTATTATCATTTGATTAATCTATGGTCCTTCAATTATTGTCATAATTAAATTAACTAAAGTCCTTACGATATTTAATGCTATATTTAGTGTGTTGTTTATATAATGTGCTATATTTTAGTGCGTCGTAATCTGCTGTTAAAATAGATAGTTTTAAGTGAAAATTCTTGGGTTTATGCAGTGTGGAGTTGTCAAAGAAGGAAAATATAACATCAAAATTACAATAATTTGTATATATTAGTACACTATTCAGGTTATAGTTAAGTGCTTATAGTTAATTATGTATACTGAAACTGCTGTTCCAATGTTAACTTATAAGTCTCTAATGGCTAAACACAGATATCTAGGTACATTATATCTCCAGTTATTTTAGTGTTTCTTTGGTTGTGCGACAATATTGTTGTGGTTATGTTTATAAATATTAAAAAGGAACAATAAGTATAAAAAAGTATTTACATATTTGGGTACATAGATGTTTAAAAATAAATTTCACAATTCACAAAACGGCATTTTGTAATTGATCTATTGTGAATCAGAATTTTATTCTTGTTTTTTTTTTTTGTTAAATTTTAAGTCAAGCACTAATTTTAGAAATCATATGTATATATATATTTAATATTTCCAAAAGAACGAACGTTTGTATATTATGTAGATATATGTAAGTACAAATGCTTATACTTAAGCACATAAAATTCATTATATTTTTAATGTTTTCCTTTTTAAGAACTCACATTCCTAGAAATTTAAAAATATACAAAAATAACTTAAAAAGGATTTTTAAATGTGCATTTATAGTTAATTAGTCTTTTTATGAATCCGAATATGTTTGAGTGTTTTTGTACCCACATTTGATTGCTCATAGGTTAAAATTGACTGTGAAGGTATTAAATACAATATTTTATTATAGCATTAAAGACCCGCAGGTCTTAAAACATAAGTTTTTTATTTGTTAAAGAATGATAAGCAAATGATATTTTCAGTTTTTGAATAAGAATTTGTTCGATTACAAAATAATGATAATAGGAAAATTAGATAAGAAATTAAGTACTTTGTAATTTACCATTCTTGTTTTCTTTCTTTAATTTTCAAAACTAATAGCATTACTTTTCTTTAATAGCAATTTGAAACTAAAGTTTTTTTTAATCACTTAGCTTATTTGAGAATACAATGTGCGTCCTTCTTAAAGTAAGTACTATTAAAAAATAAAACATTTTTATTGTAAGATCCTGGACTTTCATAAAAGACATTTTAGATAATTTTAATGTAAAATGTTTGCTGACCGTTCGCAAGAATTTGGATTCTGATTACTTATGCCAAATAACAACTAAGTAAATTATATCAAATAAGAATCAATATTATATAACGCATTACATATATTTCGAAACTTATTCAAATAAAAACCTTTTGCTGATACGTCTTTATTTAAAAAAACAAAACAAATATGAATATGAATTTGAACTTACCGATTTACTTTGAGTAAAATCACAGGTGACAACGATAAATGCATTATCCTTTTCACATTTACATCCAATTTCACATATATTTCGACGAGCGGCACGTATTCCTCTTTTACTGCTACTATTATGATTATTATTATTATTATTAAATGTATAATATTTTTTATTTAAATTTTTAATATTATTATCATCAATATTTGATTCACCATTTAGAATTTGTTTTAAATCATAAAATTTTATTGTAACATTTGTGGTATCATCATTATTATTATAATTATTATTCTTATTAATTACATGATAAATATATTTATCATTTTCACTATTATTTTTATTATTACTTTGTTTTATATCAATATTATTTTTATTATTATTATTATCAAATTCATCATCTTTTTTATTGTAATTGAGATTAGAATTATTATGATCATCAATATCATCATAATCATCTAAATTATCATTATCACTTTGATGAATTTTATGTTCAACATTTCGACGAAAATTATCAACTGATAAATAATCACCATTTAATGTTTTAGAATTTCTATTAGAATTTATAGAATCATAATTATAATAATTATTATTATAATTTTTATTATGATTAGAATTATTAATTAAAAATAAATTTGATGATATTATTGAATGATTATTATGTGATTTTAATAATAATGAATTACTTAAATTTATTATACTATTATTTTCTATTTGTAATTTGTTATCATTATTATTATTATTATTATTTTTCGTCATATTATTATTACTAAATTTTTTATTCATAATTGGTGCTGCTGTTGTAGTTGATACTCGTAATGTTGAATCACATTTTGTTATTAATATTGTAAATAATGCTAAGAATATTATTGTATTCCTTATTAATATATTTAATTTATAATTATTATATTGTTTAATACTATTTATTAAATTGAAATTATTTATTATCGACGCCATGTTTGTTTTATTATTGTTATATTTCTTTTCTTATTACAAATTACTTCACATACATTAATTATTATTGAAATTACTATGATTTTATATGATCGATTATAAGAAAATCGATGTTGTTGGTTCTATGGGATATCAAATGTGTTGGTGGTATTATTTAATGTCATTGTCACTTTGATTTTTGCTTTTTTTTGACGAATGAATAATTTATACGATAAAAATAAATTTTTTACTTTGAATTTATTTGTTGACAGCTAGAATTGTAATATGAAGAAAGATTTTTTTAAGTTATTAAAATAAAAAAACTTTTAAACCCAATTTAATTTTATTAATTTTTTGCTTTTAATTTTTATTATCACAATTTTTTTTATTAAAATTTTCATTTAAACACTTTATGTTAGATTTTTAGTTATCGCTGCAATATTTCATTAATATCGCATTGTTGCTTTTGTTACTTAGTATGTGATCGCCTTTGTTATTCATAACAATGTGGTGATAATAAAGTTGGTGTAAAAAGACTCAAGATCAAATTTATTCATATTTTTTTTTTTTACATTCTCCTTTATTTAAATTTTGTAATAGTATATGTAATTTTGCTGAGATATGGTGAAATTTTGCGATAAATTCAGTTTTGTATAATATTTAAATATGTATGGAGGTATGTATATGCATTGGTTTGCGATAATGAATGTTTTTCTTTCAATTTTATCAACATCTGAAAATAAATAAAGGAAAAATTAAAAATTAATATATACCTATACACTATAAAATTAATCTACTAATAATTAATAAAGTTTTGCTTTACAAATTTCTGCTCTCAATGTTAAAATTTATTTTCAAATGAAATTAAAATGATTAAATGATTAAAATTCAATTTTTCAAAGGAGATTGCTAAATTTAAAAATTTTTAAACAAAAATATTTCATTTTATTTTAGTTAGAATTTTTTTAATTGTAATAAATTTTAAATTTTACACGATAATTAAGTTGTTTCACACGTTAGTTATCTGTGAGTCTATATCGAAAATACACTGCCGGTTAACTGAAGTGATCATTAGTCAATGAATTTAATTATACTCTTCATAATATTAAAAGAAATTGGAATAATATTAATAATAGGCATAATCCTCTGTTGTCAGAAATGGTAAGTTTTTGTCGATTTATCTCATTCAGCCATTTGAAATACAATGCTGAACAAAGTAAATTGTAAATAATTTCATCAGTGTTTCTGATCACGAAAATCCATTTTTATTATGAATGAAATTAAAAAGAAATTGTTTTGTATCAGGTCTAGATGTACATACTATCACACATGTATGTTTAAATCAATTTTGAATTTATAGAGTTTTTAAATTACATAAAACACAAACACAACATACAAAAATTGTAAGTTATGCATATACATGTGTACTTAATTTTACATAAACGTATATAATTACATAATTACATGTTTATAATTTTTACATAGTTTACTTACATAATATTGACGTATTTAACTGCTTTGTAAATATACACAAATGCATCAATCACTCACTTCTGTTTTGTTTCTAAAACCTATGCCTAATTAAATTACTTTTGCTTTTGCTCAGGTACACAAAACCAAAATATATTTATGTTTGGAAACTAATTTTAAAATAAGAATTTTGATAACTTTTAAGCAAAAATTTTAGTTTTTTTTTTTTTAATTTTTGTTTTAACCTTTGAATAATTTATAAAAATTATAAAAAATAAAAGAATTTCATTAGACTTCGAATATTTAAAACATACACATTTCTTCATATCACATAATTATATATGTGTATACATACATACATGATACGTATATAAAAAAATACATACTCCCATAGAATAAATTCAACATTTTCTAGTACTTATCTTAGAAATAAGTGGATGAAAACAATTATTTTAATGTATTAACACTGGCAATTCGCCAGAGCATTTTATCATGCGAATATCATTAATACCTAATAAAATTGCTCTTTTAATTTACTAGTTCCTGGTTTATTATATTAATATGTTACAATGCGAATTTGTTGAATTTTTTAGTTATCATAAACAAAATGGGATATTCCAAAAGCGAAAAATGAACTTTAAAATCATTTAAGTTGCTTGTATGCTTTTTGCATTAGCAATGATTTTCAAATGTGTTCTGGGAAAATTCCGCTTCTATTACAACATTTTACTGGAAATTTTAGGACTGTAGTACCTAAAAATAAAATAATACCCACGCGCTGCTAACAAAGTTTAAGAAACGAGTGAAAGCATAATGAAATATTTGTGCTTGAGATAAGTACTTAATTTTAAGTAAGTATGCGAATATAGTTTCAACAGTAACTAGCTAATGTAAAACATAAATGAATTTGGAAAACAAATTTCACAGCTTTAGCGAAAACAGTGTTTCTTTATGTACTAATTATCAAATATAATTTTTCGTGTCTATTGTTGTATAATTTTATTATTTTCCAACAGTGTGAAACACAAAATAATGTGATTATTATTTAATATTTCATTTTGAAAGGGTACGTTGCATTCCAATAAATCTGAAAGACTTTTGTTTAAATAAAAATCAGTTTTATTATTTTTATATAAAATTAAGTCATTTAATCATAAAATTTAAAAAGAATAGAAGGTATTTTTTCGAATTAGTAATAATTTTTTTTTTCGGTTGCATCTAATAATAAAATTTTATTATCATACTTAATTAACAATTCTTTTATAATTTTATTAGCTTGATTTTACTATGTATTTCGAATAAAAAGAGCTTATAATTATTTATAGTTTATTTATTTTATTTAATCAGAAAATATTTTGTATAATAAAAATTAAAATAAATGAGTTTTTCAAGTTTCGAAAAGATTTTTAAGTTTATTCTTTTTACAGAATTTTATTATTCTCACAAATCCATCTGTATTTGAAATGCAAATTAAAGTTTTTTCGGAATTACTTAAGTAAAGGTGATTCTGGTCAAATAGTAAGACAGCTGTTCTGTAGTTATTAGGATTATTTTAAAAATGTTTAGAAATAAGATGAGTGTGTTACTTGAAAACATTTGTAATTTTGACTAATTTTAATACAATATACTTTTAAATATAATTAAAGTAAATCATTGATTTGCAAAATTCCTATTAATTGTAAAATTTTTATTAATTATAAATAAAATTGTAATTTATTGAAACATATTGCTTAAATATTTAAGGTGCCCGATTTCTATCAATTTAATTTATACGATGTTGTTTATAATGATGAATAAGTTTTGGAGCGAAAATTATTTGTGAAGGAAAATTATAATTATTGCCTTTTACATGAATATTAATTAATGAATACTGAAATTATGAAATCTTCTAAAAAAATAAAATCTTTGCATTCAAGGTTTCATTATAAAAATTATATTTTGCTGATTTTACATTAATATTAAAATTTTGATTTGAACCTTGGAAAAATAATAATTTAAAAATTAATTTCAAATTTTAATTATACAAATATAACTGGTTAATTAATATTACATATTTAAGCATAGATAATAATGAGAAACGCGATCTGATGCTTATTCATAATTAGCTCTAAAAAATTAAATATAATCGCGTAACAGGTCTTTGTATATGTCGTCTCCGGATTTAAAAAGTTTATTACTCATTCGCGCTTGCGCTCTTTTATTTTTATTCAAAGAAAAATTACTAATTCCCAGATGATTTCTATTTTGATTTCTAATTCAAAGATTGAAAACGTAAATACATAAATTTTTTTTCTATTTTTGTAAATATCATAATCATAACAAACCACATCTTAATGACATCGTCATTGTAATTGTGAGCACAGATTCCATAATTAATTCATAAAAACTTGTTTTTTCCAACCAAAATCACTTTTTATTTTTATGATGAAAATTCCACAATCTATGCGATATTTTATGGGTTTTGTTTTGTGATATGAAAAAATTTCAAAAAGTATTACTTATACAAAAAAAAAAAAAAAATTTTAATTTTTATTAATTTATGAAGTCTGTCGCTTCGGGTTTTTTTTATTTTGGCTTTAAAAATAAATTTAAGAACGCCATCTCAATAAAGGTTGATATAAGTTCTTTATGAATGTAAATATTATAAATTTTGGCAATAACTTACGTTCCGACTTTATGGTATGACTTTGATGTGATTACTTTCAAAGAAGGACGGAGAATTATGAGTGAATCGGTAATGGGCTTGTGAGTCGAATCAGTATATGAATATTTGTACGTATGCCACATTATTAGAAATATTAAAAATTGGTTCAATTTTCAATCATAAGTAAATGCGTAGAAGAATTCACCAACTGAAGAATTCCAATCAAAATGCAATTAAATTTAAAAATAAATGCAAAAAAAATTAAAATTAGGTCTAAAAGTGACAAAAA